GAAATAGAGGGAGCGAAGATAAAAAAAAAACAAAGAGAACAAATAAAAAAAAGATAATATTGGCCAATTAGGATAAGCCTTTGACTTGATGAGAAGGAGAGAGAAAAATAGAACAGGACCAACCACGTGGCTTTTAATATTGCCCAGTACGATTCATTTATTCAATTACACTCTCCATAGGTCAAAAAATTAATATACAAACTTTTCTCTGTAATATTAAAAGAGATAAATAAACTCAAGAAATGTTAAATTCATGTTCAAAATCTTTTTATATCTTCATAAATTCAAATAAAAAGAATGAGAACAGTGAAAGAAAAGCATATAAGCCCTTTTCGTATTTATTTATTTTTTCTCTTTTTCGGAGTTTCTGGTTCCCCACTTGTTAATGCATTTCACATATCTCTTTCATGTCACCATTTCAACTTTATTATGTAACTTTACTACCATTCAAAGCTTTCACGTTCAAATTTGATTGAGTTTTCATTTTCAGCCTTTACTCTTTCTTTTTTAATTGAGAATATTTGTTTTTTTTTACTTTTTATTCCATTTAAGGGTTTGTGTTAATCTATTGCATCAAGATTAAATTAAATGAATTCGATTAATGATCACGCAATTAAGAAAAAAAATTAAATTAGCGACAATTTTATGAAAAAAAAAATAGAAGAAAACTGTGTTTCCTCCGAAAATGATGTATGAGTATGACGGCTGTCGGCGGAGATAACTAAACGCATTAAAAAAAATTATGCTAATTTAACAGTTAATTAAATAAGCAAGAGAGAGCTATAGAATTCAATGAGAACAAAATTTAATCGTTAATAATTGCATTATAGTAAATAACCATCATAAAGTTTATATCTATTATTTATTAGTAGTAATGAACGTTGAAAGTATTAGTTAATGTGTTAACCGTATGATGTATTTTTCCGCATTATCAACTCACTTTCTTATATTTAGATAGTTTTAAAGTCTAAACAGTCATTATCAGACGCCATTAAAAAATTAGGAAACAGATATTACTTTTAAACAAATTATTATATCAATGTAAGAGAATAAATGTTATACTCAGATTGTAATTAAATAATCAGCAGATTAATATGTTCTGCGTCACATGGTTTGTAACAGATGAAGTTATAGTAAAATATTTAATAAAATACATAATTAGTAAAATGTATTGTGTTAATTTGAATTTATAGTTTTAATTAGGTACCAGAAATATTATTATTTTTTTAAGTAATATTTTCATTTATAAACCTACTTTTTTTAACTGTATTTCCAACCAACCCAGTCTTTCTCTGTCTTTCGTCCTCTCATGATGGCTATGGCTATTGCTTTGTCTTCGTTCACAGCTCCATTATTGTATGGATCGCGATATTCCAACAACGCAATTTTGACAAAAAATTGACAACGTTACGTGTCAAAAGGTTATTGGATTATTTAAAATATTTTTTTTTCGTTAAAGTTGACAATGAATTTGGCTTTCGAAAATGTCCCTCTCATTTTTGTTTTCATTCTTCTCCACTGTTGCATTTTGGTTTTCATTTTGTGTGTGTTTTCTCTCCTTTCTCTCTTTCTCTCTCACGAAGGAAGCTTCATCTTCTCCGGCGAGACTCCGGTGAAGCAATGGAAAGCTCCGGTAACAAGGTATTTTCTTTTCCCTTTCCATTTTCCGTTTCCCATTTTCCATTTCCCATTTTCCATTTTCCATTTCCCCTTTTTTCCTTTTCCCTTACTCCATTTTCATCCTCTCTTTAACCTCTGTCATCGTTCCCTCTCCTTTCTCTCTCCAAGCTTTCTCCTTTCTCTCTTCAAGCTTTCTCCTTTCTTTCTTAAAGCTCACTCCTTTCTCTCTTCAAGCCTTCTACTTTCTCTCTTCAAGCTCTCTCCTTTCTCCCTTCAAGCTTTCTTTTTTCTCTTTCGTTTCTATTTATTTTAGCTTCATCTTCTTCGGCGAGGCAACCCAGCGAGAAACATGTTCTCCTTTATATTGATTTTGTTGTGGGAAATGGAAAACTCCGGTGACTTCGGTGATGAGAGCAAGATATCTCCACTATTCCTTTTCCCCTTTCGCGTTTTCCCTTTCCCCTTTTCCACTTCCTCTTTCCCATTTTCCATTTAGCCTTTCCCCTTTCCTCTTTGCCAATTTGTGTTTCTTGTTTTGTTGATTATTTTTTGGATTGTTCTAACATGAATTTTTTTTATGCAGTTGTGTGTGCAACATTCTTTCAAAACCAAGTTTGTTGATGTTTTGAATGGAAGATTGACTCATGAGGAGAGGAATGTCTACTTGATAAAATTATGGAATGTCCACTTTCCAATCATGCTGACGTTAATATTTTAAAAAATTATTGTAATAGATTGTATTGAACATTTGCAATTCACAACATATTTTTTCAATGTTAATATTCATGGATTGAACCAAAATATGTTCTCATCATAGAATGTTAATGGATTTGATACACATGACCATTAAACTCACTCAACCATCTCAAAAATTGGAAAAAAGTCACCAAAAACACAGGCAAAACCATCATGGGGAGTCCAGTTGAACTACCTTGGTTTAAACACCTATAAAAGCCCCTGTCAATCAATTACAGTGACAAAAATAGAAAAAAATCACCCATAGGGACAAAAAAATGACCCTGGGGAGTTTTGTTCATCCAGGTGGGGAGTATAGTTGAAGTTTCTGTACAAATGAAAATTTTTTTCTCTGGTAATCGATTACAGGGGTCTTGTAATCGATTACCAGAGAAAAAATTGTCATTTGTACAGAAACTTCAACTGTACTCTCCACCTGGATGAACAGTACTCCCCATGCTCTAAGAGGGAAAGATATACGTATAAGATAACATGCTGTCAACTTTGACCTTTGTTGACAATTTTAATCATAAATTTTTCCACAAACCTCCAAATGATGTGATTCTTTTTTTATTAGATAGTAGACTCAAAAAATTTTCCAATGACTACTAATTTATAATTTTTGGACATCTGAGTAGGTGCAGTTAATTCCTTAAAGTTAACGTTTTATATATTTCTACCACCTCTGACTTTTGCTGGTTGTTTTCCTCAAAACTTTCTCCACCGAACTCCAAATGAGTTGATTCTTGTTTTGTTGGAAAGCTCTTTGAGTCTAGATTCCAACAAAACAAGAATCAAGTCATTTGGAGTTTGGTGGAGAAATTTAAGAACAAAACAAGTAGCAAAGGTCAGAAAAACAGAGTTGGGGAGCAGTATTCATCTAGCTCGGGAGTACAGTTGAAGTTTCTGTACAAATTACCCTTTTTCCTCTGGTAATCGATTACAAGACCCCTGTAATCGATTACCAAAGGAAACTGGGTATTTTGTACAGAAACTTCAACTGTACTCCCTAGCTAGATGAACATTACTCCCCATTCTCTATTTTTGTTCAATTTTTCATTTTTTGAGATGGGTGAGTGAGTTAAATGTTATTGGGTATGCTCCCTGCACCAATAGTGAGGTTAGGTCATTGATTTCTTCAAAAAAAAATGTCCATTTAGGTGGTTTTCTCCAACTGAGGTGAGGTGCATGATCATTGTTTGTTCGTCATCATTGGCACAGGACTGATGTTGTTGTAATCGATTACAGGGAGCTGGTAATCGATTACCAGTGGAAAAATCCCCCTGTGTACCAAAAGTTGAGGAGTGCTACCCAGACATGGCCGAAGCACTCCCCAACAGTCCTGACGACTATGTTTTCAAGGTTTTGTGGATTGATCCCCCCTGTTGGTCATGGTTTAAGGCGTCCACAACAAGCAATTTCAACTTTGGTGAGTCCTATGTAGATGGAAGACCCACGAAGGGTGTTTATAGGTTGAGAGGTAAGGTTCTGCATCATTGACACAAGAATGATGCACTTGTAATCGATTACAGGGACCCTGTAATCGATTACCAGTGGAAAAATCCCCTTTTGTACCCAAAAGTTAAGGAGTGGTACCCAGACATGGCTGAAGCACTCCCCAGCAGTCCTGACGACTGTGTTTTCAAGTTTTTATGGATTGATTCCCCTGTTGGCCATGGTTTAAGGTGTCCATAACAAGAAATTTCAAGTTTGGTCAATCCTATGTGGATGGAAGACCAAGTAAAGGTGTTTCTAGGTCGAGAGGTGAGGTCATGCACCCTTCAAATAGGAATGATGCACTTGTAACCAAAGAGGAAGGAACAATGCACCTAAGCGACGAAGGAACAACGGTGCCAGCGGAAAAACGAGAGCTTTGGAGAAATGGCGCACAGAAAGCACTTCAATGGCGTAGAGAGAGAGAGACGACTTCCTCCAAAGACACTGGTGGACCCAAGCGACGAGCGAACAACGGTGGACAGAGACACCACTTCAATGACGGAGAGAGTTTCAAAGGAAGGAACTTCAATGACGGAGATAGAGTTTTGAAGGATCTTTCAGTGAAGGGGGAGAGAAAGTTTCGAAAAGGGGGGAGAGAGAATTTCGAAAAGAGGGAAAGAGAGTTTCGAAAAGGAGGAAAGAGACTTTCGCAGGGTTAGGTTTCAAAAATTAAAAAGCGCCAAAAAGTTTCTGAAAATTATTCCAAAAATGCCCTCCAAAACAAAATGAATCTTTAAAGAAAATTTAATAAAAATAACCAATAACAATTAGACACGTGTTGTTGTTAAATTGTTGTCAAAATTCTGTTGTTGAAGAAACGTTTTCCTTATTGTATTTTGTTAAACCCTTTTAATTATTTTTAAATAGGTTTAAACCCTCCCTTGGTCCTCAAGTTTGTATGAAAATCTTAGTTGGGTCCTCAAGTTTTTTTCTGTCTCAATTGGGTCATATTTTTTGTAAAAATGAACAAATTTTACCCTAACCGTTAAATTGTAACAAACGGCGTTAGTTGGTGCTGACGTGTTGCATAATTAATACGCTGATGTCAAAATATTTGATTACGTGGAATTTTTATTTAATTTGAGAGATTATGACATGACACGTGGTGATGTTTTGACTACCTCCCTCCCCCTCTCCTTCCTCCTCCATTATTGCTCCACCGGCACCTCGCCACCAAATCCATTTCCATCCAAAATAAGTTTGCGCACTTGAGTACAATTTGTTAATGATGAGAGGAAATCCAAATCACGACCTCTCCCACTTCCAAAACTATTGTAGCCAATGTGTAGCAGTTGAAGTTTATTTAAGCTTCCCAGAGTGAGAGGAATTGGCCCACTAAAACCATTTGAGGAGATATCAAACCTTTCCAATCCGGTGATGTTGGATATGGAAGACGGGAATGTTCCATCGAACTGGTTCCCTCCAACCAAGAATCCTCTAAGATGTGGAAAAGCAAGTTGCAGTTTCGATGGAAAAGTCCCAGATAACTTGTTTGCATCGAGAGCAAGAATTTGAATATTGGAAAGATTATAAAGAGAATCAGGGACTACTCCTGACAAATTATTTAAACCAAGATTCAGCTTTTTCAAATTTGATAACCGACCCAAAACACGTGGTATACTTCCCACCAAATGATTTCTTGCAAGTGAGATATTTTGAAGGGATGAAAGATTCCCCAAGGAAGGTGGGATGGTACCAACTAGATCATTTCCGGTTTGTATCTTCAGGGAAACAAATTTTCTGGTGAAATACCTGAACAGCTTGGTAGTGTTCCCAAAACTATGGAAGGTGAACAGGTTGCAGCTGGGTGGCGCCGATGGAAGGAAGCAGAGGGAGAGGGAGAAGAAGATCTGGTTCTAGTCAAAACATCATCACGTGGCCTTTCAATTTTAGTGCACAATGCCACGTCAGTAAATGAAAAAATCCAGCTCACACCAATTTAACGCCGTCTCACACCACTTAACGGTTAGGGTAAAATTTGTTCATTTTTACAAAAAATATGACCCAATTGAGACAGAAAAAAACTTGAGGACCCAACTGAGATTTTCATACAAACTTAAGGACCAAGGGAGGGTTTAAACCTTTTAAATATTACTTTTTAAAACTTTTAATATATTTAATTCTTTCTGAGTATTTTTATTTTTCCTTATTAACGTACGTAAAAGTCCCATCAGTATTGTTTGGTAGGAATTGTCGATGCAAAATATCAACCAAAAAAAGGAGAGACAACTTACTATTCATGCTATTATCCAAGTCTTCATACTTAAAAAGAAATTTGTCTTATATATTATTTTTCATTAATTACAAGAACTGGAAAATAAATGAACACGTTGGTTCCATGAATCTTAAAAAATCTCTTTAAGCACCACGACATTTGAAAATGAATATGCTTGAAAGGGAGTGAATGATTCTTTTCTTGAACCCAAGACACAGTAACTTCCCCTCTTCAGCTGTTCATGTTCCAATGTTTCAGAACAGCACTGTTCTAAGCTTTTTTAACTCATCAAGTCTGGTTTTGAGGTAACCTCAGATATTCTATTCTTCATAACGTGTTATCTAGGTTTCTCAGACATATTATATTGGTTTTTATTTTATATCATTATCATTTATTAATGAATAAATTAAACATGTGGGTTTAACTTCTCCAAAGCACCAACCTTTATTATATGCTTTCAGTGGCTTATCTTTTGGAATTTCTGGGTATGATTGGAATACTGTGATTTATGTGGTTCACTCATGCATATTTAGAATCACCAAAAGTATGAACATGAAATTTTTATTTTTGAGTGCGGAATCCTAGTCTTCTAGGTTCAAGCACCCAAGATATAGATAGAATCTTTGTGTTAATGGAGCATGAGCTGTTCTTCCTTGTTGTTCCAACTACGATGGTGCTTACTTATATTTACTTTTTGTGCTGTTCCTGAAATGGTTTTGGCACATGGCTGGTGTGCTTAGTTCTCTGAGCAGAATGGTGGTATAAACTGAAGAACTGAAGCCGAAAGTTGCTTACTTTGAAGGAAGATCCTCTTGGAAGCATGGGTATGGGGAGAACACTGTTCATCTTTGTTTTGTGCTTGTGGATTCCCCTGGAAGTGGTGGGGAGGAAAGAACCTTCTTCACCTACCAGTGTGGATTCCTCTGTTTCTTCAAGACCGAAGGTTGTGAAATTTGGAGCCCTATTCCCTATGGATTCTGTCATTGGAAGATCTGCTTTACCTGCAATTTTGGCTGCTGTTAAAGATGTTAATTCTAGCACGAGCATTCTCCCTGGCATTGACCTGCAAGTCATTTTGCACAGCACAAATTGCAGTGCGTTTCTTGCAACAATGGAAGGTATTTGCCATTGCCAAAGCTTGAAATTTCAGCAGCTATCTCTTTCACCGATTGGTTTTACTTAAATTTAACCTCAACACTTTTTTGTTTGTTCATGAAATCCTCTCTTTGGGGAAAGGGTGTGAGTAAATAGGCTTGATTAATCTTGTTGATGATGTAGCTCTGCAATTGATGGAGAATGATGTGGTTGCTGTTGTTGGTCCACTGTCATCTGGAACAGCTCATATAATCTCTCATGTTGTTAATGAACTCCATGTACCTCTTCTGTCGTTTGGGGCTACTGACCCCACTCTTTCTTCTCTACAGTACCCATATTTTATCCGCACTACTCAGAACGACTATTTTCAGATGTATGCAGTTTCAGCCTTTATTAATTATCACAGATGGAGGGAGGTAATTGCCATATATGTAGATGATGACAATGGCAGGAATGGAATTTCTGTATTGGGTGATGCACTGTCGAAGAAACGTTCCAAGATCTCTTACAAGGCTGCTTTTTCTCCTGGGGCCTCAGAAAGTGATATCAGTGACTTGTTGAATGAAGTGAACTTGATGGAATCGCGGGTCTATGTTCTGCATGTGAATCCTGATACTGGTTTAGCAATTTTCTCCATTGCCAAGAAGCTCGGAATGATGGGCAGTGGCTACGTTTGGATTGCAACAGATTGGCTTCCTTCAGTGCTGGATTCCTCAGAGTCACCTGACCCTGACACAATGAATCTCTTACAAGGGATTGTGGCTTTTCGTCATCACATTCCTGACACTGATCTCAAGAAGAATCTTCTCTCCACCTTGAAAAGCCAAAGGGCCAAAGACACTGTAAGCTTCAATTCTTATGCATTTTATGCTTATGATTCTGTTTGGTTAGCAGCTCGTGCTCTTGATGCTTATCTCAATGAAGGGGGAAACATTTCTTTCTCTAGTGACCCTAAGTTGCAAGAAACAAATGGAAGCATGTTGCATTTAGCTTCACTTCGTACATTTGATGGTGGTCCACAGTTTCTCCAGACAATTTTAGGAATGAACTTCACTGGTGTGAGTGGTCAAATTGAGTTTGACAAGGACAAAAATTTAGTTCATCCAGCATATGAAATTCTCAATATTGGTGGTAGTGGATCCCGTAGAATTGGTTACTGGTCTAATCATTCTGGTCTGACAGTTGTAGCTCCTGAAACTTTATATCTGAAAAAATCATCAAACACACCTTTGCTGAGAAATCAACAACTTTACAGTGTGATATGGCCTGGAGAGATTACAACTACACCAAGGGGGTGGGTGTTTCCCAACAATGGACAACCACTTAGGATAGCAGTTCCTAACAGAGTGAGCTACAAGGACTTTGTTTCTAAGGACAACAACCCGCCAGGGGTACAAGGCTATTGCATTGACGTTTTTGAAGCAGCCTTGAAATTGTTGCCTTACCCTGTCCCACGAAAATACATGTTATTTGGAAATGGTGTAAGGAATCCTAGCTACAACGAGCTTGTGGAACAAGTTGCACAAAATGTGAGTATCTAAATCATACATTGTTACCATTGATAATTGGGTTATATATATATTTTCAGTACTTAAGCTTGCAAAATTGGAGTCCGTCTCTGCCGAAACTTTGATATATTTTGATCCTTAAACTTTTAAAATAAATATATATAGTCTTCATAATCCAACTGCATTAAATTTTGTGTCAAACAAAGTTTCAGGTTAACACATTTGAGTTGTTTTGACACGTTTCAACTAAAATATTAGCTTGGAACGTCATTTAAAACATAACATCCTAGAGCTAAGAGAGTTATATCCATTTTTTGTAAAGTTTAGGACCAATATGTATTAAACTTTGAGACCGGACCGAATTTCAATTTGGCATCTAAGTTTAAAGACTACAAAAATATTTAATCCTTGATAATTTACTTATATTTAAGACTATGAGTAGCGATAATGTGGGAAATTGATCCTTTCCTTGATATGGTTTTCAAATTCTGATAGTTTTGCTAATTTGGTGTCCTTTACTTGTCTAGAACTTTGATGCAGCTGTTGGAGATGTTACAATTGTCACAAATAGGACAAGGATAGTGGATTTTACTCAACCTTTCATGCCCTCAGGGCTTGTTGTTGTTGTTCCTTTTAAAGAGCAGAAGTCAAGCCCTTGGTCTTTCCTTCAGCCATTCACTACTGAAATGTGGTGTGTCACTGGTGCTTTCTTTCTTTTTGTTGGAAGTGTTGTATGGATTCTTGAGCACAGGCTCAATCCTGAGTTCCGGGGCTCACCGAGGAAACAACTTATAACAGTGTTTTGGTGAGTATGCTCTGCCCATTTGAAACCCTTTTTCTCAATCTTTTCGTGGATCACAAAAGTCCCTTTGTGATGATCATTGCAAGGGTATGTGACATTGCATCCCTTGCTATATCATTGTAGTGTATTAGTCAGATTAGAGGTAATTGCATTACTTTAACATACAGTAAAATATTTTTACTAAGATCAATTCCTTCCTCTATTGCAGGTTTAGTTTCTCAACCATGTTTTTCTCACACAGTATGTTTTTCTTTCACACCCTTTTCAATTTTTACCTGCAACTGTCCTTGTTTTGTATTGTTCATGATGAAATTCGTTGACTTGACAAAAAGGGGAGAACACTGTGAGTGGACTTGGACGATTGGTGCTAATCATATGGCTCTTTGTGGTGTTGATCATAAATTCAAGCTACACAGCTAGCTTGACCTCTATCCTCACTGTGCGGCAACTGTCATCTCAAATTGAAGGAATTGATAGCTTGATCTCAAGTACACTACCGATTGGAATTCAAGATGGTTCATTTGCACGCAAGTATCTTGTAGATGACCTCAATATAGCTGAATCTAGAATAGTTACGCTGAAAAACATGGAGGATTATATTGATGCCCTTCAGCGAGGACCTCATGCTGGAGGAGTTGTGGCAGTTGTTGACGAGCTTCCTTACATTGAGCTCTTGATGTCCAGCAGTCAGTGTAAATTCAGAACTGTTGGCCGGGAGTTCACTAAGAGTGGCTGGGGATTTGTGAGTATCTCTTCTTGCATGTCTAAAGTTAAGGATTCCATATGTTCATCCATTATTTAACTCTACTGCACACTACTTTTGTAGTTTAGAAAATAGATAAGCGTTCCAACCTCAGGTTTGTTTATATAGTATCTATAGGGCTAATAAGTATTTTGAAAATAGAAATCAAACATACCCTATTGCATTGAGTATTCCATTTTCTCCTAAAAGAAAATATCTTGAGTTACTTTGTTACATAATTTTATGGCAACACTTGCTATGAAAAATACATAAATAAGCCAAGTTATATCTAATTTTACACATCAATGTTCTTCTACTGTGATGTGCTTGTTGTGTTCATATCTTTGATGTAATATCTAGGGATGATTTTCCAATCATGGTTGACTTATTTCCCTGATAACAGGCATTCCAGAGGGACTCTCCCCTTGCTGTTGACTTGTCAACCGCCATTCTTCAACTCTCTGAGAGTGGTGACCTGCAAAGGATTCATGACAAATGGCTTAACAAAAAGGAGTGTACAACCGTAGATGTTGATTCAAACAAACTAGCTCTGACAAGATTCTGGGGCCTCTTTCTTATATGTGGCATTGCATGTTTCATTACCCTCATAATTTTCTTTGCCAGAATCTTCTGTCAATATAACAAATTCAGCCCAGAATCTGAGAAAACTGATGAGGAACTCCAACCAGTGAGGAGGTCTAGACGTCCAAGCAGAACTCCTAGCCTGAAGAAGTTGATGGTATTTGTAGATAAAAGGGAAGCAGAAGTCAAAGAGATACTTAGGGAAAACAAGAAAAGGAGACACAGCCAAAGCTTGGATGATCCTTCTGTTTCATCAGCCATCTAGTTAACCTACCCTCTCTCATTTTGCTTTGTTTATCTTTTTGTTTTTTTCTCTTTTAGGCTACCTAGTCATATAGCGTTGGCACAAATTAGTCTACACCACTGAAGGTAAATCCTTCCTTCCTAGCTAGGAAATTGCGACAGCAAGACTGTCACCACCACAACATTGTTTAAAGAAAGAACAAAAATCATGCTTTAGTTTGTTGTAGCTTTGTTTAGAAAAAGCTTGTGAAGAAAAGGAATACCCTGACACAATTTTCATCATAGAACATGCTTTCATTTTCCAAGCTTTTGGTGGTCCTATTAAAAGTGAGTTTGTTTATAAGCAAAATCCAGCAAGGGCTTCAAGAGTTCATTCATGCAAGTTGTTGATATTTTTACTGGGAATAACATGTTTTATACAGACCCTTTTGCAAGGTTGTCTTGAAGAAATAAAAAGAAAGTAGAAATTAGGTTCAAGCTTTATATGATCTTACGCAACCACTACAAGTATTCTTAGTTGCCCTTCATCCTTCTCATCCAAGATTTTGGTTTAGTATGAAAAATAAGCAAAGATTTTATTTTGTCTGTCACCATAATTCTTATGACACGAATCTCCGAGTATGAAATCTCCAAATACTGCATTGAATGATTTGGTGATTTCACTACATGGGTTTGTCGCTGGTGAGGTACACATTTGAAAATGATTCATCAAATGGGACCATTGAACACATGTTTTCCAGAGCAACACGTGGTCGATAATGTTGTCTTGTTTCTCAAAAGCCCCTTTTTATTCACCAAACTTCAAACACACACAAAAGGCAGAGAAGATTTTTATAGAACCCACACTATTCACCAATCAATATTCTTAGTTAATCGAAGTTAATAGTAATAAGAATTGAAACATGGCTAAGGCAAAAAGATTCTTCAATAAAATATTAAATTATTATTAAATCACTATACACACACACGGAAAGATCACAAATAATAATTTTTTAATAATAATTTAAAAATTCTCATACAAACATTAGAGGTATTAATAGAAAGATAAAAAGTAGTGATATTATACATAAATAAATAAGAAATAGTAATAAATAAAAATATAATTTTCTGAAGTATAACCAAAATTATTGGAGCAAAATCTAGATTTATCTGACGGTGTCTTAAAATGAGGAAAACTGTAGCCACATTTAAAATTGTGGAATGAAAGGACAGTGTTCATATATTAACGGTCAACCGTGGCCTTAAAGTAGTGCTGCTGATAGCACAAAAGTCGTTGAAAGATGTAACTGAAAAAGTGAAAACCCTTCACAAAATCAATAACATAGGGAGAGGTGAGGGCGGAAAACCCGAAAGTACCCTCAGCATTCAAAAATATGAGACAACACACAACCTCACTTTTCATTTTCATGGCTGAGAGGCTCAGTGGTTGCACTTGAGGCCATCCGTCGTAGTTCGTCGTCGTCATCAACATTCCATTCCAAACACGACACAAAAACACATATTCAAATTTTCCTTTATTTCCTCCGAAAACAACAAAAGAAAACAAAAAAAAAAAAACAAGGAAGGATATCAAAACAAAACATGCCCCAGTTTGGCACCAAACTCAACAACTCAACCACCATAAGGCGACGCTTTCACCACCGCGTTTCCCTGCTACGCCGCTGCATCCTCCGTGTCCTCCACCGCATCCTGCTCTGTTCCGGGAGGAAGACCAACAACACCTACAGCATGCTGCCTCCAGCATTACCCTCTCCGCCGCTGCCCCCGACCGCAGAATCACCCGGCGAAATTGCTCGTGAAGAGATGGATGTCGCGCCGCCGGCGATGTTTCAAACCCATGATTTGGATTCTGACTTGGTCTCCTTGAAGATCAGCTTGTTGGGAGATTGCCAAATTGGAAAAACCAGCTTTTTGGTTTGTATTAGTATTTGAGCCAGCATGGATATTTTTCTTTTTATTTTTTGGTTCTATTGCGTTTAACCTGAAACGGGTCGAGTCAAAAAATTGTTTTTATTTATTGTTCGTATTTTCCTTTTGTTTGAATGTGGTTTTCAGGTGAAATATGTTGGGGATGAAAAGGAGAAGCATGGTAGCCAGATGGAAGGGTTAAATCAGATGGACAAAACACTGGTCGTTAAAGGGGTTCGCATCTCGTACTGTATCTGGGAAGTACAAGGTAGATATATACATGTGTTGGATATGGATATGGCAAAAAAGAAAGATCAATGATGGTTAATTATTTATATTTTAATAATTGGTTGTTTTCCATGCAGGTGATGGAAAAACAGAAGATCGAATTCCGATGGCTTGCACGGATTCTGTGGCGATTTTGATTATGTTTGATCTAACAAGTCGATGCACATTAAACAGGTACCTTCTTTGTTGTGTTGTTTTGGATTAATTTTGGCTAAAGCCTTTTCAGATTGCTAATATCAGATGAATTTTCACCATTTTTTTTTGGGTGAATGATTTCAGTGTTCTCGGTTGGTACAAAGAAGCCAGGAAATGGAATCAGGTATATTTTTTTCTTTTGTCCCAGAAAGCATAAACTTGTATGCATGTGGATACAGAGGAGTGGGATTTTATCGTGCTTTATCCTTGACTTTTGTAGACAGCAATACCAGTGTTGATAGGAACCAAGTTTGATGATTTTATCCAGCTGCCTATTGATATCCAATGGACCGTTGCTAATGAGGTAAGAGTTCCAATTTCAACAATAAAAATGCAGTTTATGTACGATCTCTGCATGTTCTTAGATCTACTAAAACAGAACCTCCAGATCTGAAGAAGTATTATGCATTCTTTTGTGACACAATATCACTACAAAATCAGAAAAATTGATAGTTTTGATGATTGTTGTTTTCAATTGCAACGTGGAATAAAAACAAAAGAGATTGATGGAATAGACTCATTGTTTCCAAACACTTAACTTTGCAGACACCACTAATTTTTCAATAGGGTATAGGCATGTTAAAGATAGTTTTAATCATCAAAACCAAGTAGAGTCACCTGCATAAAGCATGGTCAGGTTAATGATCATGGACCCCATCTTACATTATAAGGCACCTCATGTTTGATGATTCATTGAGTCTTAGGGAAGACAAGACCAACCATGGTCCATACCTATTTATTTGCAAGCATGTTATGTTGGAATGCTGTGTGAGCCTCTCCAAAATAGAAAAAAAATGTCTTGTTTTGAAGATAAGATTTGATGCTTGTGATGTTGTGACATTGAACAGGCAAGAAAATATGCAAAGGCCCTGAATGCTGCCTTGTTCTTTTCCAGTGCAACTTACAACATCAACGTGAATAAGATCTTCAAGTTCATCACTGCCAAACTTTTCGACCTACCATGGAAAGTGGAAAGAAATTTGAATGTTGGGGAGCCCATCATTGACTTCTGAACTGTACATTACATAGAGTTGTGAAGTTAAGTGAGCATACTTCAAAGTCAACCGTGCCAACTTGGGGGGTGTGATGAGAATATCTCACTCTTGGGGCAATTGAGTTGTTAGGTTTACACACATGTCAATTTCCATGGAAACAAGCAAGGCTCTCTTCAATCACCATCACCAGCAATAAGTTTTACAAGGAGAAGAATAAGGGGAAAAGTGAAAACAAAGGAGAGAAGTATAAGGTTGAGTAGTAGCAGCATAACAAGAAAAGAGAAACTAATGCATTAATTGTTGAGTACAGATTAGTCAGTGGTGCTTTTGTCTTGATATTAAGGTGTCATTTGAGTTGCTGTCAAGAGCATAGATGATGAGACAGAGATGTACCTAATTTTCTTTTTGTTTCTTTTTTATTTCTCACCTGGTTTGAATTCTGGTAATCCAAAGTTCTTTTAAATAAATAAAACCATTTCATGTGGTTCATTTCTTTCTCTCACTCAAGTCATGGGGTCTTTATCACGTAAGTCCTGATTAACATTAATGATGTGATTTGAAAGATCACACTGTGATGAATAGATTTTCAAGAAGATTGTTCATGAACTGGAGAAAGCAACTTCAAATTACTACTCATGGTGTTGTTGACCTATAAAGATCTTGGTCAAAAAAAATACTTCTTTCATTATTTTATTTTTTTTGCACTTTTCTTACAACCTTGATAGTTCTGTCTCTAGATAACTAAATTCTTTAAAATTTTACCTGACAAGTGGGAATTGATTCAGCTAACTATGATGTTGTTTACTTTAGTGTTCTTTCACTTTTTTGCATTTTAATTCAGCATAAGCTTTTACTAGTTACATTCATGTAATTACAAATTCGTAAAAGAGAAAAGAAATCACAGAGAAACACTTCTATACAAAAAAGTTATATGCTCATACACAAAGTTAATAAAATTTGGGATGATAATTTCTCCTGGACCTTTCTAAAGGCAGTATCTCTATCTCTCATTTTCTCGTATAATTTTAACATGTTTAAAAATCTTACATTGTTTAAAAATTGAAATAAAAGATAATCTAAATATGTTTTTCTTTAAATTTTTAAGATAGTTTAAAAAAAAACTGTGACAAAAGTTTAAATTTCAAAGAAAGACAGTAGATAGTTGTTGTGTACACTTTGAATTATGTTATAAATATAATTTAAATAACTAGATTAGAAAAATAAGAAGGATGAAAATAATGTGAAAGAGTATATATTATAAAGGTTTAATACGTATTTTGGTCCCTCTTTTCGTAGGGTCTGTTCAAATTGGTCATACTTTTTTTCAAAAGTTCACTAAGATCCCACTTTTCGCAAAAACGATGCACGTTAGTCCTTTTTTAGGTTTAATACGTGTTTTGGTCCCTCTTTTCGTAGGGTCTGTTCAAATTGGTCCTACTTTTTTTCAAAAGTTCCCTATTTTGATCCCTCTTTTGATCCCTCTTAGTGAACTTTTCGTATTTTGGTGAGCTGTACATTTTGATCCCTCAAAAGTTCACCTCAACGAAAAATGTACNAACACATGTTTTCCAGAGCAACACGTGGTCGATAATGTTGTCTTGTTTCTCAAAAGCCCCTTTTTATTCACCAAACTTCAAACACACACAAAAGGCAGAGAAGATTTTTATAGAACCCACACTATTCACCAATCAATATTCTTAGTTAATCGAAGTTAATAGTAATAAGAATTGAAACATGGCTAAGGCAAAAAGATTCTTCAATAAAATATTAAATTATTATTAAATCACTATACACACACACGGAAAGATCACAAATAATAATTTTTTAATAATAATTTAAAAATTCTCATACAAACATTAGAGGTATTAATAGAAAGATAAAAAGTAGTGATATTATACATAAATAAATAAGAAATAGTAATAAATAAAAATATAATTTTCTGAAGTATAACCAAAATTATTGGAGCAAAATCTAGATTTATCTGACGGTGTCTTAAAATGAGGAAAACTGTAGCCACATTTAAAATTGTGGAATGAAAGGACAGTGTTCATATATTAACGGTCAACCGTGGCCTTAAAGTAGTGCTGCTGATAGCACAAAAGTCGTTGAAAGATGTAACTGAAAAAGTGAAAACCCTTCACAAAATCAATAACATAGGGAGAGGTGAGGGCGGAAAACCCGAAAGTACCCTCAGCATTCAAAAATATGAGACAACACACAACCTCACTTTTCATTTTCATGGCTGAGAGGCTCAGTGGTTGCACTTGAGGCCATCCGTCGTAGTTCGTCGTCGTCATCAACATTCCATTCCAAACACGACACAAAAACACATATTCAAATTTTCCTTTATTTCCTCCGAAAACAACAAAAGAAAACAAAAAAAAAAAAACAAGGAAGGATATCAAAACAAAACATGCCCCAGTTTGGCACCAAACTCAACAACTCAACCACCATAAGGCGACGCTTTCACCACCGCGTTTCCCTGCTACGCCGCTGCATCCTCCGTGTCCTCCACCGCATCCTGCTCTGTTCCGGGAGGAAGACCAACAACACCTACAGCATGCTGCCTCCAGCATTACCCTCTCCGCCGCTGCCCCCGACCGCAGAATCACCCGGCGAAATTGCTCGTGAAGAGATGGATGTCGCGCCGCCGGCGATGTTTCAAACCCATGATTTGGATTCTGACTTGGTCTCCTTGAAGATCAGCTTGTTGGGAGATTGCCAAATTGGAAAAACCAGCTTTTTGGTTTGTATTAGTATTTGAGCCAGCATGGATATTTTTCTTTTTATTTTTTGGTTCTATTGCGTTTAACCTGAAACGGGTAGAGTCAAAAAATTGTTTTTATTTATTGTTCGTATTTTCCTTTTGTTTGAATGTGGTTTTCAGGTGAAATATGTTGGGGATGAAAAGGAGAAGCATGGTAGCCAGATGGAAGGGTTAAATCAGATGGACAAAACACTGGTCGTTAAAGGGGTTCGCATCTCGTACTGTATCTGGGAAGTACAAGGTAGATATATACATGTGTTGGATATGGATATGGCAAAAAAGAAAGATCAATGATGGTTAATTATTTATATTTTAATAATTGGTTGTTTTCCATGCAGGTGATGGAAAAACAGAAGATCGAATTCCGATGGCTTGCACGGATTCTGTGGCGATTTTGATTATGTTTGATCTAACAAGTCGATGCACATTAAACAGGTACCTTCTTTGTTGTGTTGTTTTGGATTAATTTTGGCTAAAGCCTTTTCAGATTGCTAATATCAGATGAATTTTCACCATTTTTTTTTGGGTGAATGATTTCAGTGTTCTCGGTTGGTACAAAGAAGCCAGGAAATGGAATCAGGTATATTTTTTTCTTTTGTCCCAGAAAGCATAAACTTGTATGCATGTGGATACAGAGGAGTGGGATTTTATCGTGCTTTATCCTTGACTTTTGTAGACAGCAATACCAGTGTTGATAGGAACCAAGTTTGATGATTTTATCCAGCTGCCTATTGATATCCAATGGACCGTTGCTAATGAGGTAAGAGTTCCAATTTCAACAATAAAAATGCAGTTTATGTACGATCTCTGCATGTTCTTAGATCTACTAAAACAGAACCTCCAGATCTGAAGAAGTATTATGCATTCTTTTGTGACACAATATCACTACAAAATCAGAAAAATTGATAGTTTTGATGATTGTTGTTTTCAATTGCAACGTGGAATAAAAACAAAAGAGATTGATGGAATAGACTCATTGTTTCCAAACACTTAACTTTGCAGACACCACTAATTTTTCAATAGGGTATAGGCATGTTAAAGATAGTTTTAATCATCAAAACCAAGTAGAGTCACCTGCATAAAGCATGGTCAGGTTAATGATCATGGACCCCATCTTACATTATAAGGCACCTCATGTTTGATGATTCATTGAGTCTTAGGGAAGACAAGACCAACCATGGTCCATACCTATTTATTTGCAAGCATGTTATGTTGGAATGCTGTGTGAGCCTCTCCAAAATAGAAAAAAAATGTCTTGTTTTGAAGATAAGATTTGATGATTGTGATGTTGTGACATTGAACAGGCAAGAAAATATGCAAAGGCCCTGAATGCTGCCTTGTTCTTTTCCAGTGCAACTTACAACATCAACGTGAATAAGATCTTCAAGTTCATCACTGCCAAACTTTTCGACCTACCATGGAAAGTGGAAAGAAATTTGAATGTTGGGGAGCCCATCATTGACTTCTGAACTGTACATTACATAGAGTTGTGAAGTTAAGTGAGCATACTTCAAAGTCAACCGTGCCAACTTGGGGGGTGTGATGAGAATATCTCACTCTTGGGGCAATTGAGTTGTTAGGTTTACACACATGTCAATTTCCATGGAAACAAGCAAGGCTCTCTTCAATCACCATCACCAGCAATAAGTTTTACAAGGAGAAGAATAAGGGGAAAAGTGAAAACAAAGGAGAGAAGTATAAGGTTGAGTAGTAGCAGCATAACAAGAAAAGAGAAACTAATGCATTAATTGTTGAGTACAGATTAGTCAGTGGTGCTTTTGTCTTGATATTAAGGTGTCATTTGAGTTGCTGTCAAGAGCATAGATGATGAGACAGAGATGTACCTAATTTTCTTTTTGTTTCTTTTTTATTTCTCACCTGGTTTGAATTCTGGTAATCCAAAGTTCTTTTAAATAAATAAAACCATTTCATGTGATTCATTTCTTTCTCTCACTCAAGTCATAGGGGTCTTTATCACATAAGTCCTAATTAACATTAATGATGTGATTTGAAAGATCACACTGTGATGAATAGATTTTCAAGAAGATTGTTCATGAACTGGAGAAAGCAACTTCAAATTACTACTCATGGTGTTGTTGACCTATAAAGATCTT